AAACACAAAAGTGTCTATTACGTCAAGCTGAGCTCAAAACAGTAATGATCCTTTATGTATATAGTCTTCAACGTTTAGAATCATGCTCTCTCCGTCTGAACAAACTGACATTCTGCAAAACAAATGCCATTTGTTCCGGAAGACTGATAGGGCATGATCTGAAATGTTCGAGGATACGTACGTCGTAAATGTGACATCGTGTAAAATCCAGCCATATAAAATAATTTTTCGTAGATGCCAAAGCGTGGACGGTACTTCAGTGCTTGCAGAGGGCAAAACTTAAACTCGTAAGACTGTACAATTGAATTACGTTCAAAGGTGGTCAAACGGCACTCTAAAGTCTCTGAGAAAATGGCAAGATACAACATGCTGCAATGGTCATAAAGTTGAGACATGACCTCATTACAAACGCGGCAGCATAGACTTCATGAATGACGAATGACAAAATGACACTCACAGTGAAGATGGCAACGATATCGACATCTCAGTGGTTGTAAACTAACAACAGCATAAAACATTGTGTACATAGGTCATTTTAGTCAGTCGAACAGAAGGACTTTGGGCTCTCTATGTGTACAAACTACTGCAGAGGACAAGAATGGCTTCGGAAGCTAAATCTCATTTTTACCTTGAAAAAGGTAAATGAGAAGCGGACCAAAACATCGATACTGGTTAATCATCTGACTATCAAACCTGTCTGCATTGCGAATAAATAAACCGCGTTTTTGTGTCGTTCTCAATACGACCACCAACGCACCAATACAGTGTTCAATCCACAGCTGCAAACTATTCCTTTCTCGCTTTCCATAAGAAGAAAAAACACGAGGAAATTATTCAAAGCGCATTTCATGAATTCGTGGATGTGAACGGACTCGGTTTGTAGCGCACAGATTCTTAGCGAGGCTCCAATTTCTGCTAGTGACAATAACAACGTATTAATGCAGTCAAGAACTAGTTGAAAAAAGCTTAGATGGGAGTTTAGTCCTTCCATGGCATCTTGATTGAACGAACTGCCATTTCAACAGATAGTAGACATTTATTATAACAGCTGACGCTTCAGACAAACAACACTGATCATCCACATGAAAAACAATAACCACCTTATTTGCCGGAAATTCAAATACTTCTTGAAACCATTATCATTACTATCAAATGGAAAGTCTACAGTGGCATACCATCGGCAGGTTATACCGATTAACAGTTTTGTTGACCCTACCACTGATCCGGTTTACATGCTCCAACTACAGAACACAGTTGGCGTACCGTTGAACAACGGTAGGAAAAATACTGTGAAATCTACAGGAGCATATTTTATTGGGATATAGCAAAATTTCTGCTGTCTACGAAGCTTCAAAATTATTGTTTGATTGGAATCGAGTAAATATACCAGTTTATGTATAAGCTGGTCTTGGTGCTGTGCAGAACTTTAAAGAAAAAACAATCCCGCGTAGGGCATAACGAAAGAAGAGCGACATCAGTATGCATGGTTCACACAACAATAACAGTAAATT